CCCTGGTCTCCTCCAATCTAACACTCAGACACTGCACCACCCTGACTCTCCCCTGTCAGATTTTTGGGTGCAAGACTGGGCAAGGACTGCAAGGAAGGTGTCTCATTCCTCTATAGTCTGGAATGTCCCCCAACTTTTCTCTTTTAGAGATGGCATAGGACTCTAGGTTCCCTCCTTCCTCTTGAAGCAGTGGGATCTCTCGAAGTCACCCAGAAGGCTCTGGTGAAAAAGGGAATTAAATCCAGCTTTGGCTCTGCCCTAAATCTGGATCCCAACTATCTTCTGGTATCCTTTTCTTTCCTCTTTCTTTGTTCCTTGCCCCGTTGTCCAAACTTAGGAAACTTTCATTCATGGGGAGAGCTTTGACTTGGCTTTCCCTTTGAAACCGAGTTACGGATTTCTTTTCAGTGCTTACCTCTGGCCTTGGACTACAAGCTTTTAGAGTCAGGGACACCCTCCCCCCTCCCTCAGAGTGACCAGGGGTCCTCACCACAAAGGAGGACAAGGCACCGCAAAATGGAGGACAGCCAAGTAAAATGTTGGGACAAGACCAAAGAACAGCTCCAAACACTCCTAGAAATATCAATTCTTGCTTCTTAGTCCTGCTCCAAATGGAGGACCTTTGGGGGATTCCTCCTGGGCAGAATTTGATTTGCCAAGAGCAGGTGGGCCTCTGTCTTCTCTGCAACCTGGCTCCAGACTCAGGAAGATCAGGAAGGGACACCTTCAGTGTGACAGTGTGACCCCCCTGGGAGCATCCCTTTCCCATCCCATCTGGGCTGCAGAAAGAAGGGACCTCATGGAGAAAGCCAGCCATGGCTTGGAGGCCCAGATGTTCTCATAACCTCAAAGGAGGACGCTCAAGAAAAAAGGAGGACGTGACTAAAGTGTTGCTCAAAACACTCACAGAAAAAGAAATCCATGCTGCTCCAAATGGAATTCCTCCTGGACTGAAGGTTGAAATGTGGGACATGTCCTGGAAAAGGAGGACCTCTGGGCCCCCTGAGTAGCCCTGGATGCTAGAAATCACAAGGGGGTGTGTGGGTCTGTATCTCATCTGCTGGGAAATAGCATCCCTGGTGGGTTGTGGCCCTCTCCTCCTGCGCTGGGGGGGGGGATGCCTGGGTAGGCTTTTGGGACAAGAGATGCCTCCTGGATCTCCTTCTCTTTTGTCCTCCAAGTCCTCACTGATTTCCTCCCCTACCACACCATACAGAATCCTTAGTAACGTTTGTTTGTACCAATGTTACTCATAAATTGTAATTCCTACATATCACTGAATGTAATGGCCATAGTTGTTATTACATCAACGACTAGCGAAATTGAAAGCATACTGTATCACAGCACAAAGCCTAAACGCATTGGGATGTACATAGTTTCGTGTGCTTAAAGTGAACATTTGGTCAGACGTGAGGTTTCTTTGTTGTTGTTTTTTAAATTGAAAAAATAAAAAAAATTGATTTTTTTCATTTAACTTTTTTTTTAATGGGGCCTCTCTTTTCTCTTTCCATTGAGTCTCCAGCATTTTTAAAAGGAAGCAAGGCTAACACCATAGCCCCTTTCTGGCCAAAGACAGATGCATTTGGGGAGCAGTGGTGTCATCCCCTGCACTGGTTCCCAAACTTTGGTCATCCAGATGTTTCGACTTCAGCTCCCAGAAGCCCTGATTGTTGGCCAAATTGGCTGGGGCTTCTGGGAGTTGAAGTCCAAAACACCTAGAGGACCAAAGTATGGGAAACCTTAGGTGTCACCTGGTGTGGTCCGCACCCCCTTACACCTTTCTTAGTGACCCCCCCATAGACTAGTCTGAGACCCTCTTAACACAATTGGGAGGAGAGGGTTACTGGCTGGACTCTGTTGCTCAAATGGGTCGGATCCAGCAAGGCTTCTCAGGGTCCAGCCCTGACCCACAGGATCCACGTTTCTCTTTGCCTCCCCCCCCCACCCAGTGGATGGAGAGAATTTAGGAGGAAATCAAGATTTGCCATGAGTCTGTGGCTGGCAACACAACAAATTCCTAGCGACACCGAGGGGGAACCAGACACAGTACCAGATGTCCTAACTGCAAAGGAGGACAAGGCACTGGAAAATGCAGGACATTCAAAGCAAAGGGAAGAGATAACCCACTCAAATCTAAACAAGCATAGAAACATCAATTCCTGCTTCTTAGTCCTGGTTCAAAATGGAGGACCTTTGGGAATTCCTCCTGGACAGAAATGTAGGATATGTCCAGGAAAAGAAGGACGCCTGGGCTCCCTGACCGACTATAACTACTGCCGGGAACATCTGCACTACCGCCATAAAACCTGTTTCATCCCGCTAGTTAAAGGACCCAGCAGACTACCTCTTTCTTTGAAAGTACATGTTGCTTTTCGATTACTCCTCCCCCCCAAAAAAAGGTGTAGTCCATGTTAAAATGTCTTTGTGTTTTCAAAAAGTATCTGTCGGGCCTTGGTATTAAAACACTAACAATAATGGCCAAAGCGATCTATACATTCAAGGATTAAAACCCACTGAGCGAGAACAGTGATCTTTGCTCCGGAACGAATTCGGTACAAGAGGCGGTGGCCTTGATTTGCTGAAACAGCTTCTCTCCACCAAATACTCCAGTCGAAACCTATCTATCTATCTATCTATCTATCTATCTATCTATCTATCTATCTATCTATCTATCTATCTATCTATCTATCTATCTATCTATCTATCTTCCTTCCTTCCTTCCTTCCTTCCTTCCTTCCTTCCTTCCTTCCTTCCTTCCTTCCTTCCTTCCTTCCTTCCTTCCTTCCTTCCTTCCTTCCTTCCTTCCTTCCTTCCTTCCTCGTTACTGGGGTGATCTCGGTTTGATGCAGTTCCACATCACTTTAACTGCCATGGCTCCCTTCTACAGTATCCCGGGATCTGTAGTTTTGTGAGGCACCAGCCTTCTTGGGCAGAGAAGGCTAAAGAAGAACTTGTAATACTGCAAATTTCAGGAGGATGCAGCTACAGCACTTAAAGTGGCATCCAACTGCATTAATTTCCACAGTGTAGATCCAGCCTGGTTGTGTAGTGGTTTGGGCGTTCTGGAGACTGAGATTTGAATCCTCGCACAGCCATGGAAACCCAGTGAGTGACCTTGGGTAAGTCACACTCTCTCAGCCTCAGAGGATGGCCATGGCAAACCATCCTCTGAACAAATCGTGCTTTAAAAAAAAAAATACCATGAATCTGATAGGGTCGCCTTAGGGTCTCCATACTGCAGAAATAATCCAGTTTGGGAGCGGTTTAACTGCCCTGGCTCAGTGCTAGGGAATCCTGGGAACTGTAGTTTTGTGAGACATTTAGCCTTCTCTGTCAGAGAGCTCTGGTACCACAATAAACTACAATTCCTAGGATTCCCTAGCACTGAACCAGGGCAGTTAAAGCGCTCTCAAACTGGATTATTTCTGCAGTGTGTTTTGGACCAAAGGTGTGCTCCCAGAGAGGCGATCGGGGTGGAAAGAGCTCATTCTCTTCCTCGGAGAGGCACCCTTCCTAAGAATGGGTTCCAGGGGTGCTTTGAGGGCCGGATTTAGGGATCAAGTCAAGTCAAGGGTGCAAAAAAGAGACCCCTAAATCCGGATCTCCCCCTGGCTACAAATCCTCCTCCATTCTCGCCCTCCCATTCTTTCTTAGCAGCCCCCCAAGTCCTCTCCTGGCCCTGGCAGGTGGAGTGGGGCAGAGAGTAGAAGAAATGGGCATGTTGGGGGAAACTCTCTCCTTGCCTGCTGCGGTTCCTGGGTCTGTTTCCTCCGACTCCGGCTTCAGCCCCAGATTTCGCTTCTAATTGCATTACTGGCAGCCAACAACAAGGGAATCTCTTCCGCCGCTGCAATTCTCAGCCAGCCTTCTTTCACTCCATTGGCTTGATGGGCTCGGGTTCAAAGAACGAGGGGCAGAGGGAAAGGGAAAGGGAAAAAGGGAAAAAGGGAAAAAGGGAAAGGGAAAGGGAAAGGGAAAGGGAAAGGGAAAGGGAAAG